AAAAAGAAGAGCTGTGATGTTTCAGGCCTGGGACGAACCACTTTTCTCCATTGACAGCCCAGAGAAGAAAAAGGAGAGAACTGAAGCACGAACTGAAGTTGTCACGAACTGAAACAGGTCACGAACTGAAGTTGTCACGAACTGAAACAGGTCACGAACTGAAGTTGTCACGCTCTGATACCATGTTTCTACTGTTGCTACAGTAGTCCAAGCTACACATGTGTATCTTAATATAACCCCATTTTCCTCTACTACACGTGTGTATCTTAATAGATTGAGACCAAGCTAAATAATTGGTCCCATCTAGCTTTACAGTAGTCATTGCCCCAAAAAGATTTTCCACTGACCCCCCATGTCCAAACCCGGAATCTATCTCCTCCAGTTTGCTCCATTGAGTAAACAGATGCAAACGAAAATCAAATTAGGGCTTTACAAAGCTAGATTTACTGTTCTAAGCAAAGAACAACCTTTCAACCCCCAAAATTAGGGTTTCTCAGGGTCTTGCGGGATGTGGAGAAAGAGAGAAACTTCAACCGCCCCTTCCATAGGTTCTAGAATTCAATCCAACCAAGACCGCCCCTAATTGAAATCAAAAGGCTTGCCTCTGATCCCTAGGCACTTGGTTCAAACTGTCTCTATGACCTGTAACAAGGTTTCTCCAGTTATCTAGGGTTTTTGGGAAAAATCTCCAAAAACCTGCCCAAGGTTTCAACTATGGATGAAAAACCTCCACAAAACTCTCCAAAAACCTTCTTAACTGGACTGCATAAGTAGCGATTAATCAACCAATCAGTTCTCCATACACACTATGTATGGGCAAAGAAAGGAGAAAAAAGTTGAAAGTGAGAACCCGCTCTAATACCAAGTTGAAAATTACACCTACAATAATTTAGATAATGCAAGAAGAAAAGAGAGAAAGAGAAAGAAGAAGAAAGAAGTTTCAGCAATAGGTTGTGGAAGAAGAAAAGAAGGGAAGAGAGAAAAGAAGAATTCGAGCCTCTCTCTAGCCCCCTTTCATCACTTTTATTAATAATTCTAAGTCTGGGTACAATTACTTGGATGTCCTTAATGGGGCAGACAGCACTAAAGGAATAATTAAAGAAAATAAAAGAAGGCCCATAAGGCACATAACTAAAAAACATTACTTTTAAATACTACTTAAAAGAAATAAAGAACACTAAGGCCCATTCGGCCCATTCTCACTATAGAAACTTACACCTAATTTTCAAAGATATGCCAAGTTTTTTGAATAACGTCCTTGGTTCATTGTAAAGTACACTCACAACAACCCAAGATGGGTTGCATGCACTCATATCAATATATTAAAGGGCAATAATCACTTGTTTCCCCCACTAAGATGTTTATATCTATGCTTCCTGCTTAACCGTGCCTAGGCAATAGTTCTCCAGAATGCCTAGGTGGTCACTTAGTTGATGTCTAAAGTGTTGAGACATCAGATTTTATCATTACTAATCTTGTTACCATCAGGATGGCCTAGCGGGTGTTTGGTACCAATGTGTTTCACAGCCATTTCTTTCACAGGCATTCCCGATTCATAAGCATTTCATTTCTCCTTTTCTTTTTGAAAAAAGACAAAAAAATCATGTTTGGTGGAGATGCATGCTGACTGGGCATTTAAAGTGTTTTGACTTATTAATATATTCATAATGACAACTGTGTGACATCTCAAAAAAGATGTCCGATCTTTCAAATTTCAACGTGCCACATCACTTTGGTGATAAAAGATCACCAAGGCGATTCAAGACCACCAAGGCAATTCAAGAAGTGCAAATTTGATGATTCAAGAAATGCCTCTTTTCACAAATCACAAATCTCACCATTGAAGCGATGTTTTTTTTTTTCAAATAATGGCTCACTAAACATGTTTAAATAGCGCTTCCATTTTTTTCTGATGTGTCAAACTCATGAAATGGAACACTTGTGAAACGCTATGGTGCCAAACACCCACCTAGTGAATACTGATGAGATGAGTTCAATGGTTATTCACTAGACTAGACTAGAGGTTGGAAGATCAACCGAAGGGTATAACTATGATATAGACTGGGGTAGTGAACAGATCACCAATTTGGAGGGTCTCCTATCGAACTGCCAGTTTGGGTCATCCACAGGGTTCCTCTGCATGGAAGAAATAAGTGTGGTTGTCTGGAAAAACTTCCGTTTTTTGGTAAATACCTGGAAAAACTTCCTGATTGAAGTTAGCTCTTGATATACTTGTTGCGTGCTAAAAGGTAAATGTGGAATAGACTTCATTGCATTTTTACCAACTTATATTATTGATGCCAACCTCTTTACCAATTATTAACTGGCTTGTGGTAGTTATCAACGATAATCTGTAAAAGGTAAATTAAGGAAAAAAGTCCTAGCTTCAATAATTGACAACATAGGAATTACATGATTTCAGTAACACAATCAATATTTCCATGTGGTTTTCTACGTAGTGATGATTCTGATGGAAATAGTTTCTGTTTAATGTAAGTTCAGTTTATTTAAATACTTGGTACAAGTTCAAGTAATCTATACTCTAATTCATTAATTTGATGCGATTTTTGTTCTTCAGATCCTTCAAGCTAATTGTTATATATGTAAAGGTTATTATTGGTATTTCCCATCAATGATCTTTGTATTTCTTGTAGTCAACATCATTATTTTTCACATTTACCTTCTTCCCAAAATTTTCTAGGTAGAATTAGAAGGTTGAAGTTTCAATTGCAATGAACAATATGGCTTTTGCTCTTGGTAAATCTTATTTTTGTTTAGGGGATGGTGACAGAAATATGATTCTTGGAAGAAGCTTCTTTGTTACTCCCTCAGACTCGGTTGCAATTATTGCAGCCAATTCACAGGCAGCAATCCCTTATTTTAAGAATGGTCCCAAGGTAGGTGGCCTTGTGCTTTTTTTCTAAGTACACTTTCTTTTTCATTACAAAATGAACCTTAGTATTTATGAACTTCTACCTTTGCTTCTTTTAGGGTCTAGCTCGGTCTATGCCAACTAGTGGTGCTCTTGATCGTGTTTCTGAGAAGTTGAATCTTCCTTTCTTTGAGGTGCAGCTAATGTTGTCCTAATTTAGTATACATTTCCTTTTCAATTATTTTCTGGAATAGTTTTGCTCATCGCATGAGGGCTTGCATGGTAACATTACATGCTGACAAACAAAATAATAAATTAGATTATTTTCCCTTTTTCCATTCCTTTGACCAACTACATCCTAGGTGAATCTATTTGGTTTCAGGTACCTACTGGTTGGAAATTTTTTGGGAATCTAATGGATGCGGGAACATTGTCTATTTGTGGGGAAGAAAGTTTTGGCACAGGTTCTGATCACATCCGTGAGAAGGATGGCATATGGTAAATATGAACATTTTTTTTTCTGATGAATATAGTAGAAATCTGAAGCAGTGGGTAAATCTCCCTTTCACCATGAAGTTGGAATTTTGAAATAGGAATATTTTGACCACTGTCAAAGCTATGTGTCTTGGTATGAAACAAAGGAAAACCTCTTCTCTGATGCTAAACCAAGTAGTGCAGGAGTTCTCATAAGGGCCCAAGCTAGAAGGCAAAGCTTTCATTGGAGTATATAATACTTCCTAACTATTTGTGAGAAAATTAAAGCTGAACATCTTATGACCTAGGGAATAAATCTCAACCATTCATCTAAAATAACTTGAGTGAAAATATATAAATAAGGCCATTACCCATGTTGGTCCCAACTATCTGGGGTCTTGGAAGGGGTAGACTGGGTTCCAACCTAACCATTGGCATTTTTCCCATGAAGTGCTTTTCTAAGTCTCAAACCCACTTTCTCATGCTTGTCATCGTGAGGTTTTTCCATTACACCAAGCAAATATGAACCACCAAAATACCCTTAAACAAAGAATCCTGTAATGGACCTGTAATATGATAAATTGTCCATAAATTGCTCAAATAGTGCTTAAGTGCACAAATTTAGGCTTCTTGGATCATACTAATGGCAAAGCTAAGATATAAATGCTCATTTCATGATAACATTGGTGGCATCTGAACAAATTTTTTTTAAATTTGATTAACCAGTTAGGATAACATGAAATTGAAACACCCATTGAATCCTTGTTTCAGCAGGTCCCTCTCGAATAGAGAAATAACTGCATTTTCATTTTCAAGAAGCTTGAAGGTTTTCTTCTCTAACATGATTTGAGAGATGGAGTTTGGTTGAAGGAGGAGAGTTCCTCCAGGGTGGACGCTTTTGCTCTTGCTAGAAGCATTATTGAATCACTGACTTGGGTGTCTTCGATGGGAGGAGAGTTCCTCCAGGGTGGAAGTGTTATGGACACACCGCCTGACGGCACATTGCGGCACAGTCATAGGCAGCGGCATGCACAGCAGGCCGTGCGCAGCACGCACTGCCCGACAGCGCGCAGCACACACCGCACGACAGCGGCACGCGCCACACGGCAGCAGAACTGTGAGGCGCGCACGCCGACCAGCAGCAGCAGTAGAGCGGGACCCACATGACAGCTCATCAGGGTGGGTCCACACTTATCTCTTCTCGCCAACTCGCCGCCAGCTACTCCATCTTATCTTATCTTGTCTTATCTTATCTTATCTTAAATAGGAGTTGTGTTACCATTAGGAGTAGGTAATTAGGAGTTTGATTTCAAGTTGGAGTTTGAGTTTATTTAGGAATTTCCTTCTGTAATCTCCTATTTAAGGAGCCACGAATTAATGAAAAGGCATTGAATTTTCGATCAAGAGAAGAGCTTAGGAGAGTTAGGGTGATCTCTTGGACAAATCACCGCCTAGTTTGCCACAATAGGGTCAGCACGCAAAGGGAAGGGCAAGGGAAGGCTAGGAGTTTTCCCCGTGGACCACCCCGTGACGAGATCCTACGCGCGGGCCCATAACATTTTGGTATCAGTGCCTAGCGTCATGGGCGACATGGAGCAGTTATCATCCAAGGTCCACGAACTTGAACACCGACTCGTGGAAAATCACGCAGAAGTAAGAGAGGTCAAGGAGGATGTCAGGGAACTTCGGCGCCTACTAGAGTTATACTTCACCACCAGAGAAAGGAGTCCTGAAGAGGTGGCCACCAACCACAGCCGCCACCCAGAACGGGCCGAAGGCTCCGATGAACGACAAGACACCACCCCAGCTGCAGCGGTCATACCCAAATACAGTCGTCTGGAGTTCCCCTCCTACAGTGGCAGCGGTGACCCACTGGGATGGCTGTACCGCTACGAGCAGTTCTTCCGTAATCAGCGCACAGAGGAGAAGGACAAGGTCAGCCTGGCCGCATTTCACCTCACCGAAGAAGCGCAGCTCTGGTTCTACCGAGTAGAACAGGAAGAACCGGGTCTTAGTTGGGAGCAGTTCAAGTCGTACTGCCTCCTTCGATTCGGACCCCCATTAACAAGCAACCCCTTGGGGGAACTCATTAACCTCAAGCAGACAGGGACCGTAGCAGAATATCAGCGGCAATTTCAGACCCTTCTCGCCAGAGCCTCTTTAGTACGCCCAGACCAGCAGGTGGATATGTTCACAGCTGGCCTATCCGAACCTCTGCGAGTTGACGTAGAGATGCAGAGCCCGCCTAACCTGGTCACAACAATGAATTTAGCCCGCGCCTTCGAGCGCAAACTGCAGATTAGCAGAGGGCCGTCCAGCATGGGACGCCCAGCAACGGCTTGGACAAACCCGAAGCCTGCTGGAGGAGGACCTTCCCTGGCAGCCAACAGGGAACCACGGCCTTTCACCAGTAACCCTCCCCGATCTACAACCAGCATAGGGAGCAGCACGACGGCACCTCCCATCAGACGCCTATCCAAAGCGGAGATGGCAGAACGCCGAGCCAAGGGCCAATGCTTCAATTGTGACGAATTGTACTCTGCCGGCCACCGCTGCAAGCGGTTGTTCTGCCTCCTGGTAGACGAATTGGAGGCAGAAGAGGAGCAGACAACTCTAGAACCCAAGATCTCCTCCCTTCACGCCATCACCGGAATTCAAAACTCTCAAGCCATGCAGCTGCAGGCCCAAGTAGCAGGAAAACAGGTACGGGTTCTGGTGGACTCAGGGAGCACACATAATTTCATCAGCAAGCAAGCGGCACTCCAACTGAAACTACCGGTGGAAGACAGACCACGGCTTCAGGTAGCCGTAGCAAATGGGGAGAGAGTTCCCAGCCCAAGGATCTATCCGAAACATCCAAATACAGGTGGATTCTGAACCATTCCTCGCTGACCTGTTTGTATTGCCCCTAGACGAGTTTGATATAGTATTAGGAATCAAGTGGCTCATCACCCTCGGCCCTATCCTATGGGACTTCAGTGCCTTGACCATGACGTTTAACCTACATGGAAAACAAGTCACCTGGAAAGGGACCAAGATGAGAGCAAAAAGACCACAAGTACATACTCTCCATGGCGACCATTAATGCCGAGATGGAGAAACTTCTGTCCGATTTTCCATACGTGTTCTCAGAACCCAAGGGCCTTCCCCCTGTCCGATCATGTGGCCATCATGGCCGAGACCCTCCCCGTCTCTTATCTTACGAACCAGGTTCCACACGGTTGGAAGAAGTAGATCGCAGTCTCCAAGACCGCGACGCCCTCCTGGCCGAAGTCTCCCTACACTTGCAGCAGGTGCAGGCGCGTAAGAAGCAAACCTACGATCAGCACCGCCGCGAAGTCACCTTCGAGCCAGGTCAGTTCGTTTGGTTGAAGCTCCAACCGTACCGCCAGCTCTCCCTCAAGCGGTGAGGCCCCCCCAAGCTGGCCCCCAGATTTTACGGGCCCTTCAAGGTTCTCCGGCAGGTCGGGAAGGTTGCCTACCAACTCGAGCTACTAGAGCATAGCAGAATCCATGACGTCTTCCATGTGTCCCTACTGAAGCCTTTTACAGGGACTCCCCTTGAGCACGTGCCTTCTCTACCCCCTCTAAAGGATGGCAGACCCATCCTCCACCCTTGAGCTCTTGTCCGGTCACACATCAATCAGAGTACCTTCGAGGTTCTCGTAGAATGGGAAGGACTACCCTTAGCGGAGGCCACCTAGATTCCCTGGACCGACCTTCACAGTGCCTACCCAGCTCTCGAGCTTGAGGACAAGCTCGTTATCTAGGAGGGGTGTGATGTTATGGACACACTGCCTGACGGCACATTGCGGCGCAGTCACAGGCAGCGGAACGCACAGCAGGCCGCGCAGCAGCACGCACCGTTCGGTAGCGCCGCACAACAGCACGTATCGCCTGGCAGCACGCAGAACGCACCGCCCGACAGCGCATAGCACGCACTGCACGACAGCGGCACGCGCCACACGGCAGCAGCACTGCGAGGCGCGCACGCCACCCGGCAGCAGCAGTAGAGTGGGACCCACACGACAGCTCATCAAGGTGGGTCCACACTTATCTCTTCTCGCCAACTCGCCACCAGCTACTCCATCTTATCTTATCTTGTCTTATCTTATCTTATCTTAAATAGGAGTTGTGTTACCATTAGGAGTAGGTAATTAGGAGTTTGATTTCAAGTTGGAGTTTGAGTTTAATTAGGAATTTCCTTCTGTAATCTTCTATTTAAGGAGCCACGAATTAATGAAAAGGTATTGAATTTTCGATCAAGAGAAGAGCTTAGGAGAGTTAGGGTGATCTCTTGGACAAATCACCCCCTAGTTCGCCACAATAGGGTCAGCACGCAAAGGGAAGGGCAAGGGAAGGCTAGGAGTTTTCCCCGTGGACCGCCCCGTGACGAGATCCTACGCGCGGGCCCATAACAGGAAGCCTTTGCTCGGTAAAGCACCCGCTAATGACCACTTCAAAATAAGGGATTGAAGATACAAAATTGTTGTGCTATGTATAGCCATATAGGCTTTCTGTATAACCTATGAATAGGTTTTTTCCCTTTTTTTTGATTGGTAACTGTTAAAGTTCATTTATTAATGGTAGTATCAGTCAATTATACATCATAAATTGCACCTACTAAGAGAACTAGGCCTTGGCTAGCCTTCCTACAGTGACAAATTACAAAGTCCTTAATCGTGGTCTCCAAATTGCAAATTCATTTCGATCTGCCCCTAACTTGGAAAAACTAATAACCATGTTGTCAGCTGACAGGGAAGGGGGTGTCATATATATAGACTTGTCACTTCAGCATCCAGCTTTCTTATTTCCATGCTCCCTCTAAATCATTCTTCATCCAATTGTAACCACTTTTGAATCTCCATCTATTAGGATATTTTTAAAGTTCACTCATTTTGCCAACCAAAGTCCCTGTAACAGAGCCAAAATTTTAGCCATTGTAGAGTCCCCAATCCCCACGATGCCAGTGTATACTGTGAATTGCCAATATGTTCATTCCCCTTTGAGTTTCTAAATATTCTCCCTACTCCAGATAGACCAGGATTTCCCAAGCTATATCCATCATAGTTCTTTTTGATCCAGCTGTCTTGTGGTGGGCACCACAATGGTGCCTTCACTATTCTCATAGCAGTAAAAGAGGCCAGCTGCTGCCAATTCCTTAGTATATCACTATATCAACCAAGTGTTGGAAGGTCTCTATCCTGTGGGAGTTCTTTTAGATTGCCTGGTCCTACCTTTCAACCATGTGGGTATCTTAGCCATGTAGTTCAGTGAGAACTACAGGTTCCACCCTGTGGTCCATAGTTCCCTACCCAAGCATAACCCAATACAACTTGGGCGCTTGGTCAGGGTTGGTCGAGTTTGAAAGAATTTATGAATACATTTTATATAGCCATCTTTTATTGGGCTTTATGCCCAATTTAGGAGTAGAAATGGTTTAAAATATGTACATAATTCATTTACAAATGTACATATGCATATTTTATACATGTGTGTGTGTGTGTATATATATAATTAGAAAATACTTTAGCATAAAAAAAGAAAATAAATATTTTTATATAAGTAAAATGCACGTATGCATGTATTTGGGTAGGCTTGGGTTGAGTTGAACCTGGGTATGGGTTGGGTCAGGCTCAGGTTGGGCTTGTGCTACCCAAAGTCTCAGCCCAAGCCCATCCAAGTTTTCTGGGCCAGGCCCAACCCATGCAAAAATTTGGGCTGGGTTTGGGTCGGGTTGGGCTCGAGTTGGGCCTGCTCCAGTCACTTCCTCAATTTCATTTTCCTTCCTCCCATTGTCCAATGAGTGAAAGTACTTAGAATTGCAATTTTCCATCCCTTTCTTTAATCTATTTGTACCTTAATTTCTGCCCCCGAAGAAATTTCTTCCTTTCTAGATGGCTCCTCAAGCTCCCCCCTTCAACCTTTTCATTCTAACCATTTCCTCTTGAACCAAATTTCTGTTATCCTCAATTCCATCTATCTCTTTGATTTGTTCAAGCATTTGAAGTTTCATTTACCCAATGATCCCAAAGGTGGTCTTGTTCTAAAATTTCTAGGTGGACTTTACATGTTTTAGATTTCCCATAAACTTGAACGCCTCCAATCCATCTACCCCATCTTTATCTTACCATTGAGCCACCAAAACATGCTGAGATTGACATAGACTTTTTGAAGAAGGTGTTTTTCACCCATTACAATTTTACACAAATATTAAGGAAATGTTATTTCCAGAACTGATAGAACTATTCACACACACACACACATGCATGTATTTATGTATGCATGTGTATATAGATGTATGTATTTATGTATGCTTGTGTGCATGCTCTGTACATATACAACTGAGAAGATTCAAAGTTAACATTAGGCTGATTTTGTATGCATGGATTTTTCTTCCCTTTTTCCAATTTGCAGGGCTATATTAGCTTGGCTTTCAATCCTTGCATACCGTAATAAGGACAAGAAAGTTGGAGAGAAACTGGTTTCTGTTTCTGATATTGTTAAGGAGCATTGGGCAACTTATGGAAGGAACTTCTTTTCTAGATATGACTATGAGGTGAAGATTACTACCAACATATTCTGACATATATATAGTTGTAGAACTCTTGCCATATGCTGCACCAGTTTGTGTTAGTGGTTTGCAGAAACTTGTACCTGAATAAATTGACTGTCGTCTTCCTACCTTATTATTGGGAAGAAAAGTAAGATTCTAATAAATTTTTGTATCTGGTCCTAACTTACTATTCAGGAATGTGAATCTGAAGGGGCCAATAAGATGATAGAGTATCTTAGAGATTTGGTATCTAGGAGTAAGGCAGGTGAAAAGTATGGTAAGTCCAAATCCATACAAAGATCCTTTGGACCTTGTCATCTTTAAGATATTAAATGAATTTAGTCATTTTCCTTTGTGATAGGAAGCTACATCCTTCAATTTGCGGATGACTTTGAGTATACAGATCCTGTAAGTTCAACAACTAGGCAACAGTCGTCACTTTCACTCATATTTTATTATATGCAAGGAGAGGAATTGTTGAATCTTGTATGTACCCATGCCGTGGACAGGTTAATTATATAACATTTGCATTTTTCTTTTCAGGTGGATGGAAGTATAGTAACCAAGCAAGGCATTCGGTTTGTTTTTACAGATGGATCAAGGATCATATTTCGTTTATCGGTACGTGCCAGTTTTGTCTTTGATTATGTAATTTGATTGTTCTGCCAGAGTACTTGAAAGGGCAGAAATGGTAATATGTTTTCTCTGTGCAGGGAACTGGTTCTGCAGGTGCAACTGTTCGAATTTATGTTGAACAGTTTGAGCCAGATGTATCAAAGCACAACATGGATGCTCAAACAGCACTGAAACCACTGATAGGTTGGTTACTTGTCATTTCTATGATCTTATGTGTGATTTTCCATTAATTGTTTGGTGATTATCCAGATCTGGCATTGTCGATTTCGAAGCTGAAGGAGTTCACTGGAAGGGAGAAGCCTACAGTTATCACATAAAGCATTGCCTGCCACTGTTACCTCATGTAATTCGTGTCACTAATGCTTATGTTAAAGTCGGGCATTTTATTTTTATCTAGCTTTCTTGGTATATTCTTTTGTTCCATTTTGATGCAGCACATCTGGCTTTGCTTGAAAGTAAGCTATATGAAAAAGGGGAAAGAAAACCTAAAAATGTACTTTATTGCAAGGTTTTTAAAACCGATTCAGTGACCGAACCGGTCAGGGGTCTGGTTACCGGGTCGAACGGTCTGACCATCTGAACCAAACGCTCAGCCCGTTTTGACAGAAAAATAAAAAATGGTCAAAATCCTTTGAACGGTTTAAATGGTTAACCGCCTGGTTCAGCGGTTCACTGACCAAAATCAATGGTTTTGGGGGAAATCTGGTTTTTGGGGAAAACGGAACCGGTCAGGTGACTGGTTCCCGGTTTTTCCGGTCTGACCATCCGGTCCAGTCCGGTTTTGAAAACCATGCTTTATTGAAAATATGGTAGTTCTGTCTCCCAGAAATGGTCCATATACAACTCTCTTTGGTGAGAAGATGGAGAAACTCTAAATGATAGAAAGAACAAATTAAAATACTTCCAGATAAGGTAGATCTTATTTTCTATAGGAAAAATCTATGATACTGGCAGAGCTTTGACCAATCAAATCACCCCGTGAATTTTGATGAACACCACCTGAGGTCACCTCTTTTGGTTGGCTATAACATTTTCTGGTATCATGTAAATCCTTTTCTATATTTTGTTATACTGGTCAACTTTTAGGTCTTATCTAATGAGGTGTAGCCTTCACCAGTGCATCTGGATAATGAATCTGGAAGAGGAGAAAGTGGTATTTTAATTGTATTGATGATCTAGGTGAAATTTTGATTTGGATGATTTATGGGGGTGAAATTAATTTCTCCTTGGATAGGGGGCTCAATGTAGGCCCTCTTTTAGATGGTGTCAATTGGACTGAATTTGGTCCAATCCGATCCAGTCCATTACAAATGGACCAGGTCTAATCCAATCCAATGAATATATAAAACCATTTTGGACAGTCCAATTCAATGTCTGGACCATACGATTTATTCAAATTTGTTTTAATTTAAATTAATTTTAAACCAAACCTGGTCCATTGACACCTATATTCCTATCTTCTATCCATGGACCAGATATTGGCTCAATTCAACCCAGTCCAATTTAAATTCATTACGGATGGACCAGGTCCAATCCAATTCAATAAATACTTTGAATCATGAAGTCTGGACAGGTCTAATTCAATGTCTTGTTGAACTGTCCAGCTGGTCTAATTCAATGTCTTGTTGGTCTGTCCAATCCGTCCAAATTGATTTAGTTTGGATGGGGTCCAATTCAAAACCATTCCATTGACACCCTATGTAGACCATGTGATCACGGCAAAAAAGGATATCTCTGCTCGATTGCACCATCTCAGACAGCTCTTCGAACCTGTGAGATTTTATCTTACCTGCTGATACAAGTTTGTTCATCTCTTGGAAGCAACACAAATCAGCCTGCAACTCTTTTTAGACCAGATTCAGATACGCCCCTCTCCGATTTACAGCCCTGGTTGTATCTTTCCCCATGTTCTCTATGCTTGTAATTATTTTTTAAGTTGATAAAATTTGTATAGGAAGTAATAAGAGATGCTGTAATCGGGTCGGATTTAGATGGGATTCATCTGTATCTCAATATGATCATATTATCTATTGAATCTAACTATGGTGCATTTTGAATATTTGCTGCATTTTAAATTAAAATTTCAACCAGTTACATTAAATGTCACATGGTCTATTTACTTTTTTATTGATTTATTTTTCACAAGGTGTATTATCATTAGATTTTTTTTTTTTTGCGCATCATAGACTTTGCTTTATGTAAAAACCTAATTCCAAATTTCATTTGCATTTGAACAGATCTTGGGATCTTGGATCATATCAGAATCTGATTTATAAATATAAAATGCATTTATTATTATAAATTTTACATAATTATCCATGTAGGCATGTATAAGAACAATTACTTGGTATAATGAATGGTAAAATCTCAGGCTAGCAAGCATGAGAATGAAGTCTGAGAGTAGGGGTGGATTTGAGCTGAGCCGAATATCAAGCAAGGCGAGATCGGCTCGCCAATAAAATATGAGGCTCGAGCTTGACTATGAGACAATGTTTTATAAAAATAAAAATTATACATATAAAAAATAAGAATTACAAAAACTAGTTATTATTATTATATATATAAAACAAAAATATTATATATATATATATAAATATATATATATATGTAAAGGGTTGATTTGGCTCGCAAGCCTCACAAGCCAAGCTTTATTGAACTTGAAGATTGGTTTAGATCAAGCTGAATCTAGTTTTTCGCAAATTGAACTCAAATAACTTATGAAAAACTTGACTCATGACCACCCCTAGAGAGAAACCACTTGTGCAAAGAAAGGCCAAAGGTTAAGGTCATATATATTCCACCCCTCCCAAGACCCCACATTTTGGTTATTGACCTTTACATATTATCTATGAATGTAGATATGGAGCATATGAGATAGGGTCAAATCCACATTTCGGCCCATTGTAATATATAAACAAATCATCCAAATTGAAAATAATTGTCAGATTCACATCTTAATTAGGTGTTGTTTACCCTCCCAAGACCATAGATAACTGGGACCAACATGGTTTTTGGCCTTTACATATCATCACGTCGTCAAGTCCGTATAATATATGAACAAATCATTTGAATTGAAAATAATTGCGTCCAATTCATATATCGACATGGGCTGATATGCCCTCGTCGGCCTGTGTCGTTACACTTTTTTTAGTTTTATTTATTTATTTTTTTAAAACCGGTTCAGAGGGGTTTAAGGCCCAGCTACACTCTAAACCGGTGGCTGACCTGATACAACCCTTGGAGGGGCATGAACCTTTACTTAAACCCCTCCCCTCCCACACCACCACCCTCAATACACCTAAAAAATGGTTGTTGGATTTTTTGACTCCAATGATGACCTCAACTATCCATCAACTGGGAGAAGCTCTCGATAGGTTAGTTGTTCAATCCTAGTTTGAACATCCTGCACCTTGCCATTTTATTCGTGTTTTCCTCATTGTAAATTTTAATTTGGGTAAATTATAAAGACCCCCCCGTACTATGGGGTCTGTGACAAAGACCCCTTATACTTTGTGTTGCGACAAAGACCCTCTTTCGTCCAAAAAGACTATTACAATATCTTTTAATCCCCATACTATCCTTATAACAATTAGAGGGAAAAACACTGTTCATCTTCCTTAACCTTCCGATATTACCTGTCCTTACTTCAAATGGTGGTCGGTCAAATGGCCGAAGACGACTCCAAAACCAGTAGCCTCAACGAAGCCGGTTCCAGCTCCAAGGATTTCCAACAAGATCAGAAGGACGAAGGTTGGCTTCAGCTAAGAATCGGTGATTATGGGACAGGAAAAACCGAGTTTAAGTATAATCAGATGGAACCAACCACTCCAATCGTCAGATTGGTGGAGCTCGATCTATTACCACCCAGCGGCAGCGGTGGCGGCAGTAGTGTTAGCAACAGCACACAACAAGTTAAACCATTATTAAATCCTTTCTTCCATATGAATGAGTTTAGAGCTTATCGTCTAATCAACAACATTCATCCCTTCCCCCGTAAATTAATCTTGTCTTCTACAGAGATCGGAGAATGACAGTTCGATTGTTGATGAAATATCTGGTTAACAAGCTCAAACTAGAAACGAATCAGAGGTGCTTAAAACCATCTTTGCATCTGTTTCACTTCTAAATGCTTATAGAATTAATGGTTGGTTTGGTACCATGTACCATATTTTTTTATTTATTTTTAGCTATTTGCATACTAAAATCACAACTCACGAATGCAAAATTGACAAAACATTAATTACCCTTACAGACCAACACCAACCTCATAGAGGAGGCGCAGTCATTCACTCTTTCCGTGTCTTCCTCTGTTTTTCTGAGGAGAGAGAATAAGAGATAGAGGAGGCGTAGTTTTCCGAGTTATGAGGTGTTGAACTGAAGGGTCGTATACATCCTTTAGTTCTCCACGTGGCCAAAGAGAGGATGGTGAGGGAAGGGAAAAGAAGAGAAGAAAGGCAAGACAATAGGTTAAATAAGTTTTAAGAGAAAAAAGGCAAAAAAAGAAAATAGAAAAAATTTAGTGAGGTATTTTGGTAATTTAATGCATTCTGTTATCTGACTTAACGGTCAAGGGGGGTCTTTGTCTCATGGTCATAGTACAGGGGGGTCTTTGTTGCAAAACAAAGTACAGGGGGTCTTTGTCACAGACCCCATAGTACAGGGGGGCCTTTGTAATTCATATTTGTATGCGGTTACCTTTCAAAATATTTTTTCAAGTGTTAGATTCTTAGGTGGGGTTGCAACTTGGGTTGGCCTAACCCGAGCTTGACTTAATCCAATTCATGTTTTTTCATAGATTGGTCCTGAGCTTTCAGGTTATGGGCTGGGCTTGAACTGGAATATTCGGGCCTGATTTAAACTTGGGTTGGGGACCAGTTCTCGGATCAAGCAGTTTAATCATCCAGTGCGAATGGAGAGCCTGTTCTGACAAAAAATAAAAAATAAAAAATAAAAACAAAAACAGCCAAAAACCAAAACAATTTGATGGTTTGATCTTCCAAGTCAGCGATTTTCTAAACAAATCAACAGTTTTTGGCCAAAAAGCGGTTTTGGGGGTGAAACAGAAGTGGTCCTGGTTTTTCCAGTCTGACCTGTCTGGTCTGGTCTGGTTTTGAAAACACTACACCCAGCACAACCCAAGCCGAGCCCATCTAAACAAAACATACATGCATGTATTTATTATATTTATGTAAAGGAAAAATCTATGATGCCTGAAAGATATGATACCAGAGAGGTTTTGACCAATCACAACCCCCTGTGAATTTTGATTAAAACTTATGTGATTGGTTAGTACTTTTATGATGCGGGTTGATTGGTTGTAAGTTTTTCCGAAATAATGTCTTTCCGGCATCATAGTCAAACCCTTATATAAAATATATTTTTTTCTAATTATACACACAATATGTATGTGTACAAAGTATGTATTTGTACATTTATAAATGTGCATACTACTCTTAAATAAGGCTATAAAGCCCAATAAAAGATGACTATAT